AGGCCCCATGTATGTGCCTCTCAATCTAACACCGCCCTGGGCTTCATTCTGTTTTTCTAACACTTTCTTGTACTGGTACTAGTGGGGTCCTGACTACCTCTCCGCTTACTCACTGTGTTCCAGCCTTTCTGCTCGTGAGTTCCAGGCTCAGGGTCTCTGCTTGGATGCTCTTCCCCAGATGGCCTTTTTTCTCCTAGTCACAGCTCAAATGTCATCTGCTCAAAGTTGCCTCCCTCACACCCAGTCTGAAGTCCTTCCCCCTCAGTCACCATCTGACCAGCCTGTTTTTGTCTTTCCAATGCATTATGTGAAATTATTTTTATTTGTCTGCTCTTCCTCATGAAAGCTCAGCTCTGTGAAAGCACTGATCCTGCCTACTTTGTTCTCAGTAGGACCCCAGCACCTGGCAGAAGGCTCCCTGCAGCTGGTGCTCAAGATATATATATAGGGCCGGGCGCAGTGGCTCAAGCCTGTAATCCCAGCACTTTGGGAGGCCGAGATGGGCGGATCACGAGGTCAGGAGATCGAGACCATCCTGACTAACACGGTGAAACCCTGTCTCTACTAAAAATACAAAAAACTAGCCGGGCGAGGTGGCGGGCGCCTGTAGTCCCAGCTACTCGGGAGGCTGAGGCAGGAGAATGGCATAAACCTGGGAGGCGGAGCTTGCAGTGAGCTGAGATCTGGCCACTGCACTCCAGCCTGGACGACAGAGCAAGACTCCATCTCAAAAAAAATATATATATATATATATTTTTTTTTTGACCTGATGAATTAGTATCTCAGGTAAAAAGCAGATGCTAACAGCCTTGGGCAATCCAGCTAGGAAAGGCACATGGCCACGTGGAAGCAAAGTGGACCTGTGGGCACAGGAGGACAAACACCAGGAAACTGTTACTTACCAGTGAATGCAGAAAGAGTAGAGCTCAGACTTTGTATCATTCCAATTCATATTCAGCCAGTGTTTATTAAGAGCCTAATATACACTAGACACGTTACATGCTGATCACATTTAATCCTCACAACCACCTTGTAAGGGAGACATCATCAGTGCCATTTGAATGAATGAAAAACTGAGGCTCAGAGATATTCAACAGCTTATCCAAAGCTCTCCAGACAATAAGTGCAAAAACAAGGATTTGAATTCAGGACTCTTTGATTCCAAATCTGGAACCTTCTGGAACCTCTGACACACACACACACACACACACACACACACACACACCCCCACCCACCCAACACCACGTCCTGAGCTGCTGCCTCCTGGACTTCCACCAGACTGTACCTGACAGACAAAGCTAGCTAGGAGGGAGGGGAGTGAGGGAGAAGGTCCCAGAGGTGACCAATGCCTGACCCCTTCATGACGGCAGGGACTAGGGCTCTCCCACAGGGGTTAGAGAGAAGAGTGGAAGGGAGGGACTTTCCCATAATGCTCCCTCCTCTCAGTGCATGAGTGTGCTATGTTGAGAAATAGGGCAAAAGAACAAACAGTCCATGCCACAGAGAGAGACAGGGAGCAGCCTTATCAAACAAGATAAGGAGACCTGGATGATGTGCCTTTTGGGGCCCCTGGTGGTGGAGGAGGACTGAGCCAGGGGAATGGGAAAGGAAGAAAAGATGAACCCATCTTGGAGTGTTGTACTTCGGTTGCTGGAAAGCCAGTAGTGGAGACTGGAGACAAATATTTAAGTCATTCCGGCAGGCCCCATGTATGTGCCTCTCAATCTAACACCGCCCACCTTGGCCAAAAAGGAAGGCTTCCTGTGGAGGAGCTGCCCTGCTCAGTCTGTCTTCTCAGGCTTTTTCCAGGACTTGTGGGTCTCCAGGAAGATCTTGACCAGGGACAGGAGGATGGGCACAGCCATAGGCAGGAAGAGTGGGATGTAGATGGCAAATTTCTGGTCATCAGGAAAATAAAGGAGGTGGAGGAGTGACGGGTCAAAAAAGGCACGCTCAGAGGACGTCACAGCTTCCTGGCTGGCGACAAAGGCAGATGCCAGGTGCCCAGAGGCCAACTCTTCTGCTGACTTCTGGACTGCAGCTACAGCCCTGTATACCTAGGAAGCAGAAGGGACAAGAGGGTATACCAGTAAGTCCCAGGCATTGGTGGAAAGGGTGCTGGGCCTTACTATGCTTTCCATCTATCGAGGAAGATGCCTGGAGTTCATCCAGGATCTATGGAAGTCTGTCTAAAGGGATATGGTTTATTTTCCTAGGGTCAGCTTGAAACCTCGCACTGTCATCTGCACTCCTGCTGGGGGGCTGGTACTGCTGTCTAGAGGAAGGCTGGGACACTAAAGATGGCAAGCCCACACATACCGTGGACTTCACAGGCTCTCTGGTCTCACCACACTCTGGCCCTCTCTGACTACTCCAGTCCCAAGCTGCAGAATCCATCCCCTGCCCGCTTACCTCAGATGCCACATCGTCCTTAATGACAATGTTGCTGATCTTGCCCAGAAGCTGTGCCAGGGAGGTGAGGGTGGTGGTGGCTGTGGCCAGATTCTCCACTGACCGAGCCCAGAGCAGCCGGTCTAGCTCCCAGGTCATTAGCCCTTCACTCTTAGGCCCTGAAAGCAGGCATTTTGGAGGCACCTGGGGCTGAGCAATCCCAAAGAGCAACCTGTAGGAACATCGGAGTAAGATCAAGGTGGCTGAGACCACAGGGTGGGAGATGATGGCTAAGATTTCTCAAATATCTGTCCTAAACCAGTGATTTTCAATCTTACCCAGAACCATAGGGGTTAAAGGGAAGTACCTCAGGGTCTTGGGGCATAAGTGGCAACACCAAGCAAATTGGCCCCAAACCCTGCTTCAACCGGTGTTTCTGCTTTTACCTGTTTCTACATTAGACTTCCAAGATCTTGTTTTTTAAAAAAAGGTTCCATGGCTAAAATACTTCTGATAACACTAACTTAGTTTAATCCTTTCACCTTCTCTACCCTCTCTTTGAACAAATGGGGCCAATGGGACTTAGCATTAAGGGATGATCCAGGACTGCCTTTGCCAAGGCACATGTGCTGTGCTTCTCTAAGCCTGCATCCGTGACAGACACTGCTAGTCAATCAGAAGAACACTCTTTCCTAATGAGCCCAGATACAGCCTTAGAATCCTCAACACAGAGCCTCAGACAGTCACTCTCAATGCATCAGGCAGCACAAGAATTAACAGTTATTTTCTCAAGCAGCCCTAATCACACTCCATGGACCTGACATTCATGAGTCTATTTTTCTTAAAACTGGTTTTGTTGGCCAGGCACAGTGGCTCACGCCTGTAATCCCAGTACTTTGGGAGGCCAAGGTGGGTGGATCATGAGGTCAGGAGTTCAAGACCAGCCTGGCCAAGATGGTGAAACCCCGTCTCTCTACTAAAAATACAAAAAATTAGTCGGGTGTGGTGGCAGGTGCCTGTAGTCCCACCTACTCGGGAGGTTGAGGCAGAGAACTGCTTGAACCCGGGAGGCGGAGGGTGCAGTGAGCCAAGATCGCGCCATTGCACTCCAGTCTGGGCGACAGAGTGAGACTCCGTCTCAAAAAAAAAAAAAGAGTTTTGTTACCTACTAGTCCTTAGAAGAAGGATGATGGGATCCCTAGAAATATCCCTTAGATATCCCTTAGACGTCCCTGGGGCTGTAGGCACAGCCAAGATATCCCCGCCAGGTAAGACTTGATTCCACTTTGCAACTCCCCTCTATAGCCAAGGAAACTATGTCCCCAAGTGGATCATCCAGGACCTCACCGCAACTGTGCCAGGAACACCTCCATCACTCGCACCATGTCCACCTTGACTCTCACTGGCAGCACTGAGGCATTATAGGTTTTGGAGTCGACATTATATACCTGAAAGGGGGAATGAGATTGCCACAACATCATACCAGGCCCATGTACAGCTCTGCCCTAGGCACTCTGGAGAGAAAAGGAAGACATAGTCTCTGCTCTTTAGAAGCTACAAACCTCATGGTATAGCTAATATTTTTTGAGTACCTACTACAGGGAGCATTAAATACATTATCCCAATTAATCCCTTGAAAGTCCTGTAGAACATATTCTTTTCTTATACCATTTTAGAATTCTCCTCCATGAGAAACTTCCAGTCTAACAAGGGAGACACGGTTCCCAACCTTGCAAGACTCCCACAAATAAGGCCAAGATCTAAGATGGACACAGAATGATCCCAGGTAAGGGCAAAGGGTCATAGTATAGAAAACACTAGCAGAAACAAAAGTGAGGCCCGCAGAAGAGGGG